AATGGTGGCAAGCACTTAAAATATCAGAACAAATTTGCCATTTATATATGCTCATATATATATTAATGTATATGCAAACACATTTACTGCAAAATGTTGGGGTGTTATATATATACATACCATATATATATGTATACTGTCAATAGAACTATTTGGCAAACGTAATTTAAAAAAAAAAAAGAATATTAAAGAAAGGAAAAAAATCATTATTATTATCCAGTTTGTATAACTTTGCCCAATTTCATTATATTTTAATATATAATACATATAATTATAAATATATATATTTATCTTTATTTTTTAACTTCATTTTTTATTCAATTTAAATTTATTTTATGTTTTTTTTTTTATTTTAATTAAAATTATTTTAATTTATATTTAATTTAATCTACTTTATTTTATCTTATCAATTTATTTATACAGGTCTACAGAACTCTTATTTAATTTAATTTAACTATATTCTATTTTAAATCATTTCATTTTATTTAAATCATTTTATGCTCTTTTATATTAATTTATTTTATCTTTTGGTATATTATTATGTTTTTCTTTATATAATTTATTTTTATTTTATATTTTTTATTATATTTTATTTATTTTACCTTATATTATTTCATTTTGTTTTATTTTATTTGTTCTTTAATTTGGTTATTATTACTTTTTAATTTGAATTAATTTTATTAATTTCAATTTAATTTACTTTTATTATATTTTATGTAATTTAATTTTTTAATATTATTATATTTATATAATTTTCCGCCTTTTTAAATTCTATTTTTAATTAGTTTAAATCCAATTTTATTTTATATTTTTATTTTTTGTTTGTTTTTCGATTTATATACATCATTTTATTTTGTTCTTTTTTATTTAAGTTTATTTAAATTTAAATTTTGTTATTTTATTTTGCTTTATTTTAATTAAAATAATTTAACTTTATATTATTTTATGTTTTATATTTTATTTAATCTTGTATAATTTAATTTAATTTAATTATTACTTAAATTTGTTATATTGTAATGTTTCTTTCCTTTTTAATTTTATTCTGTTTCACTTAAATTAAACTTGGTTTTATTTTATTTTGCTTTATTTAATTTGAATTAATTTTATTTTATTTCATCCCTTTTTTTCATTTTGTTGTACTTGATTTTAATTTCCTTTATTTTAATTAAACTAAATTTACTTTACTTTATTTTGCTATATTTTATTTTATATCATTAAAATTAATTTAATTTTTATTATTTCATTTTGTTCAAATTTTTTTCTTAATATTAATTTTTACTTTTTCATTTTTACTTTAACTTCACTTTGTTTTATTTCATTTCATTTTGTTTTTTTTTTATTTTATTTTCTTTAATCTTAGTTAAATTAATTTTTATGTATTTAAATTATTTTATCTTATTTATTTTGTACTATTTTGTTTAATGTAATATTTCTTTTTTATTTTAAATTATTTAACATTTTTTAATTAAATATTTATTTTATTTCTTTTTAATTTATTTTATTTTCTCTTTTAATTTTCCTTCATATTTTAATTTTAGGATATTTTGTTTTAAATTATTTAGCTTTGATTTTTATTAGTTAATTTTATTTTAATTTATTTTAATTTTATTTTATTTAATTTTCGTTTATTTGAAATGTATTTTTTGAACCACTCCAATGTACTTTATTTACTTAATAATTTCATGTATCATAATGTGGAGTGCTACAACATTATTTTGTAAATTTTTCCATTAAATGTACGAATGTAATATATGTATATATTTGTGCAAATACTATTTATTTCATTCTGCGAAATTGTTTACTGCCCAGCACACGCTTGGCACATTTTAGACAGTGATTTCCGCTCAGTGCGACCGTAGAGGAATGAAAGAGGTCGTGGAAGAGGCAAACAGTATATTTGTTTATAAAAACATTAAGAAGTGAATATTAAAACGCAAAATATAATTTGTAAATATAAAATTGGTATTTAAAAGTAAAATTATTGGCACAATACATACATATTTACACACAACACTATATAAAATAGTATTAATAATAGAATGAACTGTTTGCTTATTTTTTCTGTTTTTTTTTTTTTTTTTTTTTAAATCGCTGTACACTCTGGCAGAAGTTCGCAAGGCTTTCGCTCATTATTACCTGGAATTATTTCTATTTTTACTGCCTCACACTTGCATACATATACAATATTAACTCCAAATGACTGCGGATATACATTTGTTTATCCATATACTATGTATGTATGTATTGCTATTTGTTAGCTGCCTTTGTAGTTAATATTGGAGAAAATTTTCCATAAAAGCTAAGAAACGCAACGATTTACGATTAACATTGACAGCTCACAGTAGCAGCGGGAGATATGCATACATATAATATATAGTAGTGAATTTATAATTTGTATTTTTTTCCAAAATAAAAAACATTTGCATAATTTTTGTGTCCTAGAAACTACATAATTTTTTTTTGAATTTCTATGTGATTTTACAAAATAAAAATAATTCTTCATTACTTGGCCTTTGGAACAAATAAGTATTTTGCTATATTAAAAAATTAATAAAATAAATGACATGATTTACTTAATGAGTAAAGTAGATGAAACAATTAATATATTCGTGAAAAATAAAATAAATAAATAAAAATAATATTTTATTCATTATTTATTAATTTTTTTCATTTTTATTTATTAATTTTTTTCATTTTTATTTATTTATTTTTTTCATTTTTATTTATTTATTTTTTTCCTATGCAGTTTACTGATCTCTAAATCTTTCGCAATTCCCTCTCATGATTTGCCAATAAAAATTCATATATACACATATTTATTTCAATAGACAACTGCGCCAAATACTAATGGACCCGACACACCCATGTTTCGCCCACATACATATGTGTGTATCCGAATGCTAGCCACTGTCTACTCAACGGCTAATCTGTTTCTTTTCAATTTTCACCTCACAAAGAACATTTTTTCTTAGCCGTTCGCGGAGAATGTAAACAAAACGCATTGCGTCAGAAGGCGAAAGAAAAAGCTACAAAAAATGCTAAAAGCTAACACAAGAACAAAAAAAAAAATCACTAAAAATAATAAATTTTTCTAAATAATTTATTTTGTCAGAGTTCTTCTTATTTTTATGTACTACTTTTCGGCGAATTGTTTACATTTCGACAGAAGTTAGAACCACACAAAATTAAGTTTAGTTTTTTTTTTTTGAGGAGAAAAATGTGGTTTTTAGCTTTAAAAAAAAGAAGAAGCTTTGCATGTGCACTCGTACATATATAGGATTATCCATTTCGTGGTTTTAAAAGTACATTATTGTATTTTGATACATATCGAATTTAACTGTGAAACCGAACATGTTTTGTTTGAATTAAAAGTCATTTATTTAATTTGTATGTGCCAAAAAGTGATCGAAAATTATCTCAAACGGATTGAAGATTGCAAAAATTCTCGGTGTTGTCATTTGAATGAAGCATTTTATTTACGTTTATTTTCGAAATCGCAAAATGGATAGTCCTGTAAATTGGTAAGAGTACATAGAAAAAATGTAAAAGAATTGAAAAATTAAAAAATATGTGATTTTGGAAATTCATACAGACATACATACATACATGGATGGATATCTTCAGATCAGTTTGAGCATTTTTTTACTTTTATTTTTGTTTATATTCTTGAGGCAAATGAAGTTTTTTATTAATATTATTTTTTGTGCAGCCACATGTTGGCAATCAAGCAAGGAAATGGGTAAAATTATATACTATGGAACTGTAAAATCAGTTTTTTAATATGGAGCTTATTTAAAGTGGTTTTGTTTTTCTGCATAGTATTTGGTTTACTAAAAAGTATTATCATCATTTTTTATTTAAAAAAAAATTTTAAATATTTTTTTAAAGTGCCCGTGTTTTTCTTTCTAATTTTTTAATGAGATTTCACTTACCTCTAACGAAGAAGTGCGTAGAAATACCAGTTAAGCAAATCGGATATGCCACTAAATATTTTTTAAAACAGAATTAATTTTATCGATATTCCTAATAAGCAGAAATAGAGATGCTAAAGTCCTCTGGGGAGTTTCTTCGACCGAAAATTTCAAAAAATTATACTAAACTAACAGACCAGACTACACTGTGTTTTAACGAATTTTCGTTCTAATTGTTATTGCAAAGGCAGACAAGAAACTTTAATTTAGCATCATCAAAGTCAAAATATTAACGATCTATGCTAATATCCCAATCAAATTACTCTTTGTCAATTTGTCAATCATCCCTTGGCCATCAAAAAAGTATTATTTATATTTCGAGCAAATTGAACTTGGTTCTAGACTTCCATTCAACCATATCATAAATAAATTTAACTAAAACAAACCATTTATATATATAAAACATTTCAAATAGATCACCGCAATACAATTTTTTCGAGTAGTTTGGTCTCTGGTCCACTCCCCGAAAAATTGTTCGTTCCCATATACCCCACATAAACAATTTGATGAAATATTAGGTCAATCGGTCGGTAACATTTTGAAATTTGCTTATCTTTAACAACATATATAAGACTTTTATATAAAAAAAGTTAAATTTGTAGGAACATAGATATGGTTTACATCTGTCAACACGATTTGTGGTTCTGGGCCTTAAATAATAAATTTCTCCCACCTTTAAAACAAGGATTTTTCCAAATTGAAGTTTGCTCTTGTACTTCTTGCCATCAGTGCAGCAAGAGTCAAAATATATCAGCCTCCGCCATTAAAAGGGTTAAATTATGTACACTTATCGACGTAACTCATACTAAAGCAAACTTTATGAACTAAATATTGAAATGAGTATATTTTTCAATGTATAGAATCAGAATTTGAGCATAAAACAGATAAAAAAAAATATTTTTTAAAGATTCTCCAAGGAAATGTGGTCGGATATGTCAGAAGTTTGATTAATTCTTTAAATTAATTTTTTTGTTTAACAAATTTTTATTTAAGTTAATTAAAAGTCTATTTTCTGTTCTTCTATTCTAGATGTTGAGGAGTTATCAACAAAATTAATGGCAAAATTAGCCGAAGTACAGAGTATGGATGGCGGCACATTCTTCATTGGTAATGCCGATGCATTGGGTGTTTCAACGAACTTCCAGCCACAGCATGTGCTATTACCAGGTAGTAAATATTATTACACATACAGATGCATATAAATATAATTAAAAAATTGGAATTTACTATTTTTTTGTTATTATAATTTCCTTTTGTCAAAAGATAATTACCTATGATTTAATAAAAGAATAAAAATGAAACAAAAAATCCTTTTCAAAATAGAACAAATATATTTTTTGTAATTTATTTTTTTTTTTTTTTCGAAAAAATGTGTTGACTTATTTATTGCATTTCCTTAGATTACGCCAGGCTATTCTATTTCATAAAAACGTTTTTTCTAATTAAATTACTCCACCATTTTAAACAGAATGAAAGTAATTTAGAATACGTTTTTTTACTTCAGTTTTTTGGGCAGATCAACTTAAAGCATGCAAAACACATTTTTTGTCAAATGGGATTAAAAAATTAAAGGGTGATATTATATATGTCAGTTATATTTTCACTGGGCAACGTAAAGGTGAAAAAAATTATCTACTTAATAAAAAAAAATACATATATATTAAAAAGTATTTATTAGAAAATTGCTACCCGCAAAGATATATGCGTACGTATGTTATATCGAATTTCTACGGCATGTGGTTTCCTCAAATCCCGTAGAGGGCAATAACAACAACACACAGGTAGTTTTCGGCTACATTGTACTCCTTTCCTCTCTCTTTCATTCCTCAATTTAGTTGCACTCTAAGCGCATGCGATTAGTAATTTACACGCCACTTGAAGTTGACAATGAAAAAAGTGAAACAAATGAAGTAGTACTTGACTTTTGCCTTTGCAAGGACCATTATACCCCTACTGCATACTCATACGAGTATATATACATATATATATATATATATATATATACAGGTTTTCCCAATGAGGGTCACATTATTTCAAGAGGGTAATTTTGTTTTGTGTGTTTTCCGAGCATTGTAAGCACAAGGCGTGAATGATTTGGGTAGATGGACTTGAAGTGCATACCAAAATTTGTGGCTATACCCCGCAGTAAATTGGATTAGTTAAATTATACTCCGAAAGTAGTAACAAGCAAAGTAAATTCAATCAGTCATCGAACTGTCATTTTTTCATATAAGCAGGCATATTACAATCTATAAGACAGTTTTCGGTTAGCAATATACCAGACTTATACTAGTTCGAAACGGACAATAAAATCACTACATATGTTTTTAAAAAATAAAATGTGTTTTTTTGCTTAAGAAGTGATCAAAGAAATATTCAAAAATAATTTTATATACAAAGTAAAATAGTTATAATCCTCTTGGGTCAAGTTAACAAATCAAAAAACAATACTTTCTTGGTTGGACGATTTAAAAAATGAGATTGTCATAGTATTTGTATTTTTTCGGCCGTTCCAAAATACATATGTACTTATGTGATCATACAGCATGCAAATGTACGTGAAATTCAAAGTAAATATACTTTTTTCTGTAGCAAATTTTATGAGTGTCATTAGGTACAGAATACCCGCTTGTTTGCTTATGTTCTTAAAGTGATATTGTATTGCCAAAGAGCCATTAAATATATGAATATTTCCCATGTGCTTTCTTCAACGCACGAGTCACGCCTGTAATTCGAGCAAGTGATGAAAAAGGCGGAGTGGTCACGGAGAGCGTAAGCATTGATATAATTGTAAGAAAAACTTAAACTAAACTAAAAAATAAAACAAAATAAAGTAAAATAAATTAAAATTTAATGAAATAAGATATAAAAAAAAAATAAAATAAATTAAAACAAAATTAAATAAAATAAAAAAAAAAATATAATAAAATTAAACAAAATAAAATAAAAAAAATAAAATAAAATAAAATAAAATAAAATAAAATAAAATAAAATAAAATAAATTAAAATAAAATAAAATAAAATAAAATAAAATAATTAGGAAAAATTAAAATAAAATAAAATTAAATGAAATAAAAACAATAAAAATAAAGTCTGAAAAATTAACGGTAAATAAATATATTAAAATATAAAAGAAAATAAAGATAATTATTTTAAACAAAGATAAATAAATACATGAATCTATGAAGTAATGTTAATATTCTATACTCAAGAAAACCTTCATGGCATAAGAATCTCAAAAAAGTCTATAAATAACTTCATATTGACGAGGTATTAAATGACAATTATGATGTGCGGCTGCCATAGGAGACGTGTCGCCAGACGCGCAACCATTTATGCGAACAGCTCGGTTGCCGGATCATCTTTAAAAGCTTTGTGGCAACACTTTCATCTCACTTGCTTTTTAACTCCACTCGTAGCCATTTGTATTATTGGAGCCACAGTAATTGCATATTGTTCAGTGAAAAAATCGTGCTTCTTAAAATACGGCAAACAAACATAAACACCCTTCAGACAACATTGTAAAGAGTTTCGTAATTTATTTACAGCGTCCATAAATAAGTATTATATATATGTACGTATTTTTAAGGGAACCCTCCTTAAAAGTCTGAATATGAATAGTATTAACGTGTGATTTATTGAATTGTTGACGCGCCAACATGGTGATAATGAAAAGTATTTGTAATTTTTAAAAAATAAAACAAATCGAAAATAATATAAAAATATTGAAATTATAAAAATAAGTGGAAAAATAAATTTAAAAAATTAACGAAGTTTTTTACGTTTTTAACGAATTTCTTTATGATATATACACATATACATATATGATGATAATATTTGTTTATGCCAAAATTTTCGTTCTGTTTTTTTTTTTAATTTGCAAACATGTGTTGCCTCTTTTTTAAGCCATAAAATATACATATATTCGACTGCGCATTAATCCTTTCGTCTCCGTTAATTGGAAGCGAATTGCTCGCGCATTTCTTTGCCTCATTTCGTTCTTTATATATATTTTACTTTTTGGCGAAATTTATTTTTGGTCAATAGCCGGCAAATTATTTGCGTGCTGATCACGTTCGACCCATTGTGACAGACGTACCACATTTGTCAGTCGGAATGTAATAAAAATGCCTCTCCTTGCATTTTTTAGTTAATAAATTATAATTTTTTTTTATAGTTTTGATTTTTGTTTTTATTTTATTTTTACCAAAAAAATTGAGTAGATTTTTGGAACATCAGGCGTGCTGAAATTAAAATTCTGCAAGGTGTTGACTTGCAGTAAATTCGGCGATGGCCATCTGTCACTTGAGTTTGACAATTGTGAGGCACTGAAGTTTCTTAATTTCCTGGTTAACAAATATAATTAAATTTGTATGGGTCTGGTAAAGATTTTGGCGTTCAAGTGCAGGTCTTTCATATCATGGTTAGAATTTTCCGATTTATTAGAGACTCTTGTCCCAAGTCTCCACCAGCCAAATCACACGCCATTGCCATCTATAGATGGTATTCACTTGCTGCGGGATCCAGGCTATAAGACGGAAACTTAAGAACCACCCAACCAAGCTCTACACGGGCTACTATCGATGTGTGTGGTCTGGCGTTGTCCTGGGCCATTGCTTCCTTCAGACGGTTCATTTGAATTTTTTAGAAGGGGAGCAGCTTATAGTGAACGATTCCTTGTTAATACCACCAAAAACGCAACAAAACCTTCCTGGTCATCAATCCTAGTTTGGAGAGCTTTTGTGCCCACTCACTCCTCTCCAACCACGACTTTTTTCATTTGACGTTGCTGTAAGGGATTCACTTCTTATCACCGTCACCATTCGATTCAGAAGTCGGACAACTGATACAGCGGCGATTCCCAGATGAAAATTCGGTGCATGGGGGTTTTTCTCGTTGACTCATGTGGCATCCATACACCGAGCTTCTTTGTGTATCCAGCCTATTTCAAGTGGTGTTTAGCTCCCGGGAAAAGGAATCTATTGCAAAAATAATGTATTACTTTCTACTAGAACAATATTCTCTCTGGAGACTGATATCAATATCATCAATATTTTGGGAATAAATTTTCTAACCGAAATCCAAATTAGAGTCTTTTATTTTGAGAAAGGAGCGTAACGGTGTTGTACGTGTGAGGGAGGTGGAGCCCACTAGACATATAGTAATAAAATATTATATAAAATAATAAAAAAATATAGTCCACTTGGAAAAATGGAAAAACAACCCAAATTCATTATTATAAATATTACATACTCTCATTATTAATTTCTAATCTTATTCTCTGTATTCCATTTCGTTACAGAAAAATCGACAAAACATCATGAAAGGCGCATCTTAAAAACATTACAACCCGGTAATGTTTATATTGAGGAAAATGGTTCAAAGGGCTGACAAATGAAATCACAAAAAATAATTACTCTAAGCTCATACAAGAAACTGGAAAATATTTAGAGATATTTTTGGTATTACGATTTCAGAGGGAAGTGGCAGTAAACACGACGAGAATAAATTATATTGAGTGTATTGAGTAAAAGTAACTGCAAAACTAAATACTACTTAATTAAATTATAAAAAGAGGAAAGAAAAGAAAAGAGAACGATGTTTAACAAGTAATTAAAACAACAAATAAAACGCAAGGAAACGTATATGACTTTAATTATGGTTGTGTGTGTGTGTGTTGTCATTTACATGCGTAACAAATTAAAAAAAAATATATATATAAATAAAAATGAATAATTAATTAATAATAAAAAATAGTCAAAACCACAATTCAAGGATTCGCATAAAAAATTTCACTATTTGTGTCTATATAAATGTACAAATATTCTTATATGTATAACCATAACCGCTTAACACTAATTTTATATGTGTTCCTGTGAGAAAAAATTAACAAGTATAAACTGTGTGGAATAAAATTTATTTGCGTTTGATATATATTTGTATTAATTTATTGTTTTTATTACTTATTTTTTTAAATTATTATTTTAAATGATTATTATTTTATTTAATTTTTTTTTTGACATTAACATTTTCTTACAGCATTTTCCACTGCAATAATTTGTATATACACAGATAATTTGTCGAATGCTTTTACGTAATTCTATGTGTAAACATAAAATTTTATGGCTTATATAACGGAACTATGTACTCGTTTATAATTACATATTCATATTTGTAAGCTCTTTATGGTTAATATACATACAAAGCTTAATATGAAATTCACCCGAACACATTTACTTTGTTGTTGACTTGTTGTAGAATTATTATTATTTTATTTAAAAAACAAATAATATTTTTTCTAAATTATAAACGAATGTTTAAGCTATAACAAAGGTATCAAAAACACCGTTAAACTGAAAATAAATAATAAAAAGAAAATATTAATTTAAGCACAAAAATGAGCGTAAATTAAAAATAACATTAAACAAAAATAATTGAGAGAAAAAAATAATTAAAAATTTATCATAAAAAAAGATATTATTATTTACTTTAATTATCAATCAAGGCTATAAATTTAAATATATGTATTTTTAATATTTGTATATATTTTACCAAATGCTTAACCCAACCCATTACTATTAATAATTATTACTTATTTAAAAATTTATTATGAAATAAATTTTACTTAATGTAAATACTAATTATTTATAGTGCTTAAAGGTGAAAAAATGAAACTAAGTATATCCAAAACATATCCAGTAAATTTATTAGATTAAAAAGAAGTAAGTAAAATAAAAATTAATAGCTCGATAAATAAAATAAACAAATTACATAGCGTAACATAACTCAAATTAAACAAATTGAAAAAAATGAATAAATCAAAATGAAAATAAAATAAAAAAAAAAAATAAAATGAAAAAATAAGATAAAATAAAACAAATTGAAAAAAATGAATAAATCAAAATTAAATAAAAATAAAAATAAAATGAAAAAATAAAATAAAATAAAATAAATTAAAATAAAATAAAAAAAGTTAAATAACATAAAATAATATAAATTAAAATAAAATAAAATAAAATAAAATAAAATAAAATAAAATAAAATAAAATAAAATAAAACAAAATAAAGTAAAATAAAATAAAATAAATTAAAATAAATTAAAATAAAATAAAATAAAACAAATTAAGATAAAATAAAATAAAATAAATTGAAATAAAAAAAAAAAAATAAAAAATAATAGATTTTAATATAGTGATTCAGAACAAAAATAAAATTAAACTAAAATAATAAAATAAACAAATTAATATAAAATTATCAAAAAGAAAGAATTAGTAGAATTATGTTTAAATTAAATAAACAAAATAAGTTAAATAAAATATAATCAACAAAACAAATTAAAGATTTAAAAACTCAAGTGAACTGAAACAAAGTAATATAAAATTAAATAGATGAAAAAGAAGAAAAAAAAGTAAACTTATTAAGTAAAAAAATAAATCGAACATATTTCCACTCGTACTCCTTGCATTTGTGCGTGTTTGCAATACAAATATACATATTAAAATTATTAATTAATTTTTAATTTTTAATTTGTACGTTTAGTGTTTTATTCAACTTTTTAAGTTCTAATTTTTATCAATATGTCAATGATTTTGATCGTTAAACGATTGCTTTTCGGCTTGATGTAATTCATTTGTGTAATAAAAATAATAACTACATATATATGTAACTACATTATATAGCATTGTGTATGTATTTTGTATTTATATTTTACAATACTTATTTGTGTTGTTGTAACACTATGTTATGTGTACGATAAACGATTATATGATAATTTTCTGTTTAAGGTCTACTTACATACATATATACATCGATTTCTTAGTAGCTAAATATACATATACATATACTTACATACATATGTAAAGTCTAGTTGTAAGCATGGGCTATCAATATATGTACTCGTATGTGTATATTGGTCAAAATCATATAAAGTGTGTAATAAAACATATATTTTGAAGAAAAAAAATTGTTTTATTTCAATGACAAAAATGTTTGAAATTTGAGGTTAATCGAGGAGGAAAAATTTGTAAAATTCCCTATTGCGCCCACCTCAAAAGCGTGCGCAACTTATCTACTTTGTAATACACATATGTACATATATATGTAGTAATAACTCATTGTAGCACCATTAAAAAAATATTCGAGTCATCATAAACAACCTACCTACCCACTCAGCCAGCTCTGCACCTACCGCATATTTATTTATCTATGGATCGCACGTTTATTTGCATCTAAATACGTGTTTATTGCGATTAACCCATCACTATGCAGTGTCCCGACGCAGACGAACGCATACCGAATGAGGCAATGGCATTCGCATACTCGACTGCTGCAATGCGATGCGCGACGCGAAACGAAACGGCGCTGCTCGATAGACAGCAGTCAATTGGCATTCAATTGTCAACACAAATTTACATGCAATCGCCAGTATTCATCTCATAAAATTTCGATGAAGCCACAAATCACAGCACCGTTACAGCTGCCACAAATGGCACCGCGTTGTCTCTCTCTACCACTAACCGTACGCGAGGAGATGCTATCGAAGCAGAGGCAATAACAACAAAAAACCACAAGAATAAATAGCAAACAACTGCAATAATAATAAAAAACAACAACAACAACAACAATAAAACTATCATGTGTGACGAGACAAACTTCCGAGCAACAGTTGCAATCATATTGTTGCTGTTTCTATTATTGCAGTTGTTGCTATATGACTGCACTTAATTTTTGGTCGGCTGCCTTGTGTCGCGACTTGTAGCTCGAAGCTAAAGAGAAATTAAAATCGCAAAAGTATTTTTTGACGATTATTCGCAAATTAAAAACACACTTTGAATGGCGAGGAAATTGAATTTAATGCAAAAATTAATAATGAATGACAGAAATGGAGAAAAAAAACTACACACATATACATATGTATGTATGCAATTGGAAGGCACATATGCACTTGCGACTGAGAGCGAGCGTACAGTACAGTGGCTCACAGCTCAAATGGTCCACCAAAACCAAAGTGACAAGCGAATATGGGGAAATTCTTTGCTACCGAATACTTGTAATAAGATATATTGAATTTCTGGAGAAAAAGGATTTTTGACACTAAACTATGACCTGTCTTCTTAATTGCAAACACGAAATTTCCTTATCTTTATCAATACATGATTCGAATGTGAGCTGAATCGGTCTACTAACACGAATTTTAACAATAATTTTACCACTGCACCACCCTTGCAAATTCAGGCTATCGCCTTGTGTAGAAAGTTTTTGGACTATCATACACCTAGAAGTAGCCAGAAACGTTTTTTTTCGTTACTAATACGAGTAGTTCTAGCTGCTCACGACGTCACGACTCAAGTGAGAAGGCGAGCACCAGCTATTATGCAGAGGATTTTGAATTCCCCTTATATGAAAAATTATACAAATAAGGCATGGGTGAGAGACCCGGCTTTTGGTGACGACTCGTGCAAACGTCTTAAGAATCACGATTTGAGGGCAGGCATATGAAATGACCGGTTTTGTAATTTGAAAGATACCTCAGCCTTTTTGGTTCAGGTCCTCATAGAAATTGAGACTGATATCACTGTCATTCAAGCAGTGCGAAGGATAGTACAAAGACAGAAGAAATCTACAATAGAATAGTGGCTATATAAAGGTATATAAAAAAAATGGTGCTGGATTTATGGTAGAAGAGAGGCTCCGTCATCGACTGGTTGAAGGAAGCTCTTAAGCTTATTGCTGATTCGCGTTCATGGTCCGACGGAAGAGCATCAATGATGTGACCAAATATGCTCTCTATGATCGACTAGAAGGCACTGACCACGATGTCAAAATCGTGCTTGGGATTTTAAAGCCATTAAAGACTTTTTTTCGCCCCAAAAAGCACAAAACTCAGATCTATGACGAAACATCTTTACACGGGCTGAGACTGATTGTATTCCCCTATAATTTAGATATACGGAAGACATGTCTGCAGTGTACAAGACGTACGCTTGGGGTGCCTGACATCAACTCTGATCTCTAGCTTGTCGCCGGAAAGATAAGCTCCCGCCTCTGTGTAGCAAAGAATGTTGGCAAACAAACATAAGAGCCAGCACACCTGCTTTCTGAGAGCATTCATCAGAAACTTGATGTAAGGGAACTGGAGAACGACATTTCAAACTCCCTACGTGCCATCACGATGAAAAGAAAGAAAAAGAGTTGCCACGATGTGGAATATTAAACAGTCTGGTGGTCTGATAGACACCAAAAGCTAAAGAGGGTAACAAGACACATTAGCAGGCAAAACAATAATGAAAGATATCGAAATTTGTGAGTAAGAAACCGACCGAAATAGGTAATGCTGGAAAACCTTATGACAAGATCCGACTACGTCAGGTGTTCGGATCGGAGCAAAGTGGAAAACTGGTGACCGATGTCTAG